CAGTGGCTTCCTGATAAAACCGGCCAACCCACAAAATTGAGGGTTGGTCGGTTTTATCCTGGAAAATTTGAGCGACATAACCGTCTAACTCACACAGTTTCATTAAAAGCAATTTTTAAAGGAAAAAAAGGTCTACAGATTTTCGGTAAAGTGTTTTTATAGGTGCTTAAAGCATTGATTTATCGTTAAATGCCTTTGTTTTGAAATAAAACAGTTTTTTTCCTTCTCCTGTAAAATCTACCTCGCTGGGGTTAGCCGGTTTTATCACAAGGCCGACGATATGCTTTTGTTTATTCCATTTTATTCATGTTTACTACGATTTTATAGGTTGAGCTACTTAAAACTGTGCCCTGCAGGAAGCTGGAAAATAAGATTGTGAATACATTAAGTTTCTTTTGTTTTCGGTAATGAACTCCTAACAGCCCCTTTTCCCTCAACTTTCAAATACCCTGCTCAAAATGTTATCAACTTGATATCATTATGTTTTAAGTTCATACTTAGTATTAGCACAATTTTTGATCAAATTCCTTTCAGATATTTCAGGCCAAGCACATTTTCTGTTTAAATTGTTTGCGCCGTAATTATCCTTACAAAAATCAGTTCTTCAGTTTTAATAATAATATGATATGCTTAGAGTTGGTTTTCTTTTGCAGGCCATATTTATAATTTTGTTAGTTGCCCTTTGTTTAAAAGTATGCTTTGCATTTATAACAAGGAGACAAATGGCCTGTTTTAGTGTTTTCCATTTCATTTGCTTGTCCAGTGATAGTCCTAACAGGAATTAAATGCTCCCTTTTCATGATTTTCTATCTCAGATTGCTTGCTCTTTTTTAAAACATCATTAAGTTTTAAGTTTGCCCTGTCTGATAATGAAAACTGTGATTGAATCCTTTCTTCTGACAGGTGCCAGGAAAACTTTTTTGTCTCATTTGGTTTGCATTACTTGTCCAGTAACGTTCCTAACATACACAGGGTTGGTGATTTTTTTGATTTTTCAAATAAAAATTTAAAAAATCGATTTTTTAAATTTAAATTGGATTTTTTTTTTTTTAATGTCGACACAGTTTGGGATTTTTGGTTGCTAAAAGTATGTTCTTTTAGTGCAAAATGCATTGCCTTTATTTTAACTAATGATTAATTTAAGCAACTGCAATTTTAGAAAGCCTTAATCTGCTATATCAGTGAATTATGGCTACAGACAAAAAAATGAAAATGTCAGTTTAAAAGGAAGGTGGGGGGGGGGGGGGGGGGGGGGGGGGGTATTATGCATAGATAAACTTGCATAATTTTAGTACAGTGTGTGTGTGTGCACACGCTTGTGTTTGTCTAAAAAGAAAAAGAAAATGCTAATTTCAATTATGAAAAAAAAGTAAATTGAATACTGTATTATTTTACTACTTAGAGTGACAGGGGGAAAGCAGATTTTAAGCAATTTTAGTCTACTAAACCTTGTATCTGTTTTATAAAACCAAGGAAAGAAATTCTGAATGTTTAAAGATGTAAAAACAGAATCCCTTTTTTTAAAGTGATTTAAATCACTGAGTTTTATTTTTAAAATCAAGTTGATTTAAATTTTTTAAAAATCAACTGATTTAAATCGACCTGATTTAAATCAACCCAACCCTGGTTTTCAATTATGAAAAAAAAGTAAATTTGAGAACTGTATTATTTTACAGTGACACTGTTTTATAAAACCAAGGAAAGGAATTCTGAATGTTTAAAGATGTAAAAACAGAATACATTTTTTAAAAGTGATTTAAATCACTGAGTTTTATTTTTTTAAATCAAGTTGATTTAAGTTTTTTAAAAATTAACTGATTTAAATCAACCCAACCCTGGTTTTCAATTATGAAAAAAAGTAAATTGAGAACTGTATTATTTTACAGTGACAGGGGGGAAAGCAGACTTTTAAGCATGATTATATTAGTCTACTAAACCTTATATCTGTTTAATAAAACCAAGGAAAGGAATTCTGAATGTTTAAATATGTAAAAACTGAATACATTTTTTTTTAAAGTGATTTAAATCACTGATTTTTATTTTTAAAATCAAGTCGATTAAAATATAAAAAAATCAACTGATTTAAATCAACCCAGCTCTGATTTCAATTATGGAAAAAAAAAGTAAATAGAATACTGTATTATTTTACAGTGAAAGGGGGGAAAGCAGACTTTTAAGCATGATTATATTAGTCTACTAAACCTTATATATCTATTTTATGAAACCAAGGAAAGGAATTCTGAATGTTGAAATGAGTAAAAACTGAATAAAAATAATTTTTTTTTAAAGTGATTTAAATCACTGATTTTTATTTAAAAAATCAAGTTGATTTAAATCAAAAAAATCAACTGATTTAAATCAACCCAACCCTGAACATACATGGGTTGTAAAATGCAAATCATTTGTGCACTTTTTTTTATAAAACTAAAAAAGGATTTTACAATAAAATGAAATGCTATATATTTGTTTGTTAGTTTTTAAAAATTAATTATAACAACTATTTTGGACTTGTAATACTCCTAACAATTAAGGGAATGTTACTTATTTTACAAACAAAGAGTACAAAAAACTTTAAAAAACAGGAGATCTGTACTTTTAAGATATTATCAATGGATAATTGTGCTATACACTATCCAATCATCAAATCAGCATGAATATATGTGAGGCAGCGTGGTGGAATCAGGCTCTCGTCAATTTTGGGGCATGTAGAGTTATTGGTAGCATCTTAATGGTTGTTCACTTGTCTTTATTTGGAAGGGGAAAAAAATCAATTTATCTCGAATACAAGTCGAAATATTTGCAAATGAAGGAGGTGGGGGACACCTGGTTTCAGAGGTCAAATCAGTGAGAAAATGGCCGCCAAAGATTAGTTATTTCCTGAGCTTAATAGACTGTGGTAACAGACAATTTATGTTTTTTTGAGCCTTTAATCGATGTTTTTCGGTCAAATCCTCAAAGAAATGTATTCTTTAATGGGCATGAAAGGTGTTGAGCCAAAAAACAAAAATTCAGTAAAAATTGACAAACCGGCAGAAAAATGCAAGTTTCTTCATTTTGATTATTTTGACAAGCGCTTGATTCCACCACGCTGCCTCACATATATACATTTATACAGACATCTTGAATTTTCATGTCTGATGAAACAAAAAGTGGCCCTTACTGGTCGACTGACCCATATATTAAATAAAAATAGAGTCTAGATCTAGATCTCTAGTATAAAAATAAAAAGCAAAGAAACTTTAGGCAAGTAGGAATAAAATTGGTACACCTGCTGATTCTGATCTGATTCCAAAAAGCCTACTAGATCTATATCTACATACATGAAATGGCACACTAAAAATAGTAACAAGAGCGCTTGCATGACATGGCCTCTAGAGATCTACAGAAATTTCATATTTTAAAAAGAAAGAAAAAGCCCCCTTATTAAACTTAACAGGTTGCATAGCACTTGTACTTGTAAGCAATGAGAAGAGGCAAAGACAAGAGAATCTACCGTACAGGAGACTTCGGGCAGCCCAAGCCCAAGGCCCAAAACCAGACAAAATTTCTCGCGGGTAGTAAAGTGCGATTACTCTGCACACGACAAAACCACGCTTAATATGGAAGTGACTTCCCTTGCATCATCATCGAAGGCCCCGACAATTGATCGGCTTCGTCGAAAAATCAAAGTTGCCAAAGCTCTTATTGAACAACATGCCTTTCTATTGATAAAAAAGATGAAACCTTAGATCTAAGTTTGGAGAAACATACATTACTGAATCAACAGTTTCATAAATTATCAGGACGCCTATTTAGGTCAATTGCATACATTATAACTTGTAGATCTAGCCTTGCGAACACTCGCTCGACAAGATGCGAAACTTCACAGCTTTCGTTATCGTCCTCTTTATCGAAACCGATGATCTGTCAATGTTGAACGAAATAAGTTTTGTTAACGTTGAGGATAGCCCTACCTTGCTTTTTTACACTATTCCTTGCACAAAGACTGTTTCACCCAACGCATCTGCAACACTCCTGTACGCCTCTCCTTTGTGTAGAACAGAGAGGAAGTAATTATCGCTATCGTCATCAACGCAATCATCTCATCATCGTACAACGACAACTTAGGCCCTCTAGCGGCCAACGAAGGGACACAACTCGACATTTTTGCGTTATGATAATATCATTGATAACGAAAGAGCGTATCAACAATAAATATTTTCATAATTCAAGAAAAACTCTTCTTTTGTCGAATACGTAAGCCTACTGTTGTAGGCCACTGCAGACAAGACATAGTGGGAACAGGGTCCAATAGCTAAGAACGACAACCTGTGGTTCTGAGCTCTTTACAGGCAATACATGGTTATTTTCCTTTAATTGAAAGGCACTTGATAAACTTTATAAACAGAGCGCCAAAACTAGCTATAGGGCCTTGATCTAGATACTGATCTGCACTAGATCTATACACTGTTGCACTTTGAGTTCACACTCGGTTTCTAACACATCAACTTTCATCAAGGGACTATTTATTCTATCACGCTTTCGCAAATGCATCTCGCTTTTTAAAGCCGATCTCGTGTAACTATTCCTTTGTTCACAGCCCAAACAGTAGCACCCCCCCCCTCTCCCCATGGTACGCAAAT